CAGTAATAAGCGAAATTCCTTTTAAGATAGTCCTGTTGAAATGCTGAATTCGTGTGTAATGGGACAGCTTAGTTTGTTATGCTGCTACCAGCATGAGCATACCTCTTTGCCATCATGTCTTTTTGGCAGGTCCAGCAGAGAAAGACATCATTCAAGCCTAGAAGCCAAGATTGATGCCACATCTGCAGTATCCTTAAGGAGTCAAACCAAGTCATTTTAATGACTGTAAAACTGCACGCAGGCCATGTTTGACATGATAGAATAATGTGACAGTGAATCACTTTGTTCACCATGTGCCATGCAATACCATGACTATACAAAGGATTCATTATTGACCAGCTGGCTCCCTCCTCTGGCTCACACTGAGAATGATTGGCGTTTGCAAAGACATTGCACAACCCACGTTTTTCAATGCGGAAGCGAGTCCTGCCAGGCTGTCAAACGTGCTCCCTCTACTGCTGCAAGGAGGTCAGTGCACAGATGCCCCACTGTCAGGTCTGTAGTGTGCCAGGAATTCATCCACATTTGTTTGAATAGTTTAGCACTGTATGTAAAGGATTCATGCAGAAGATATCAGAAGCAATTACCTCCCATCTTCTCATAATTTGAGTATTACAAGTGAAATATATGACAATCAGGGATCGCTTGTAAGCATGTATACCGTGCCAACAGATTTCATAAACAAATGACAACTAAATGCCCTTAAGAAACTCCATCAAATTCGTAATTGCCTTAAGATAAATGTACAACACTGTAGTCATGTATATGATGTGATATAAAGTTGCTAAAATTTGCACAACCTCTCCAAGCGACAGCTGTGAAATGCTATTAATCATCTCATTTTGTAACCGGAACCATTCGGTAAAACAAGTACTTTTACTTCTGATACCTAAAGTATATTTTGCTGGTGACACTTGTGTGATTTTACTCGAGTAAAACTTTAAATTCAGGACATTAACGTGCGAGTATTTTGACACTATTATTACTTTTACAGCATCTGATATCTTCCTCCACCACTGGACTGCAACTAGAACATGTAAGTTTACTACATACTGGATGTTTCAAGAGCTGGAAGAGCCTTAAATATGTGGAATTATAACTACTAATTTTAAGGCGCTGAAAGCTGATAAATACAGATGAATTATTTCACGTCTTACACAATATAGCATTGTTGTACATGTGAGAACCCCACTTTTGTCTCACCTTCGGATATATTTAAGATTTGCCTACATTTTCTGTTATGTCACTGATGGAATTAGTCATATTTTGTATTCTAATTTATTTTAAGTGGGGTTTTTAAGAGCTAAACATGTCTATTTTAAAGCAGGCATCACAGTAATGTTGTAAAAAGAAAGAAATAAGTTCTGACATTAGCTATAATTAGGTATATTTTGAATATATATATATATATATTCATATAGTATATACATTTTCCTTCCTGGGTGGGGTGAGGATTCATGTATCTAGGGGGAGCTCTTGTCTGTTGACGTCGAAGCCCGACAGTGTGTGTGTGTTTTCGGGGGTCGGTGGGGGAGGCAGGAAAGGGGGAGTCCGTGTAGCACAATAAAGTAGGCGAACATGGAGGGCGGGAGAAACAGACGGGCAGATGCAAAGCATGGTAGGAGGAGCAGACTATTTATCAATCTGATTTACAATGAAAAAGCCTGAACTATAACCACACTCTGGGTTAAAACAGATAACATCTCCTTTTCCTGAAACAACTCAGTTAAATAAAACATCCCTGCTGACCAAGAAATAGAGACAGTGGGCCTCAGTAAGTTGTGTGTGTGTGTTTTTTGCCTGTTATTATTATATGAATGAGAAAGAGATGTCTTCGGCTGTATTTACCGCCGTAAGTTATGCACACAGGAGGTTGTTTTCTAATAAAAATGGGTGACGTAGTGTCAAAGGCACGCTCTCTCGGAGAGCTCACTGGAGCCGAACAGGCCGGCCCATTTCTGTGCGCTAGAGAATGTCCTGTTCTTCGGGTGTTTGTTTTGGCTGATGTTAGCCCCTGCCAAGCGTCTTCATCTTTCTTTTTATCCTTTCCTTTTTTTTTTTTTTTTTAATCGTCCAAGCAGCCTTTCAGGCCTTCCAAATTCTCTCCTGCTCTCTAGTTCTTTTGCGGGGCGGCTAATTTGTAGAGGCCGGCCTGAAAGTAGGAATGTTAAGTCAGCCAGTGTTGTTGAGATTTGCAGGAGATCTGCGTTTTTGTTAACGTGCTTTCAGCCTCTTCCTGGAACTATCTGGGTGCTAAATGAATTGCTCTTGATCCTACCTGGCGTTGCAATCGGCTTAGTGCTAATCTGGGGTTCTCACAGTGCAGCCAAGGCTCGTCCACGCAACGCTGCTGCACTGAGCTGCCGGCTGCTGTCTTCTCCTAAAGGTTTTGATCTCTGGCAGAGTCTGTCGTCCCCTTCGCCATTTACACCATGATTCTCCTCTTTTTGGGGAGCCTCTTTTTTTTTTTTTTTTTATGCCTCCACGCTGTGACCTCACTGAACACGGTTTGGGCCATAACTCAATAATTCATGCGCTGATTATGACAATTTCACATAAATGCCTCGTAGGCTAAAATGTGTTGACATTTTGGACAGACGTGAATATAAACTTAAATGTTGGATCTTTCATTCTGAATGAACTCGGCCAACCTCTTTCCTGTAAAGTCCACCCTTGTAGTCACATGGTGCTTCTCCTCCCTCACTGAAGCGTCTCCTTTTGTTGTCTGAACCTCCCACTTTGCGCTCAAACCTTCATATTTTCTCTGACTCCCTTCTTCAGCTCTCTCACCTTCCCTCCCTTGCTGCCTTTTCCTTCACCCTCTCTCTCTCTCTCTCGCACACTAAAGCCTCAGAGGTGGCCACATGCTGCCTGCAGTGTGTCTCCCTGGCCTCACCGCTCGCCCTGCCTGCTTTCCTCTTTTCTCACTTTTTTTTTTTGTCTTTAGTTTCTCTGCTGTTTTGTTTCCTTTGGCATGATGCCACCGGCTCAAACCATCTGTCGTTTCTTTTATTTTTACTGTTTTAATGCTTTTCTTTTCCCCTTTCTTGTAATGTCAGTGCTATTAGTGAGTTATCCTTATTTATTGATGTTTTTTGATCACAGGATAAGTTTACCTCATACCCTGAGCATCTTTTCTTTTTTTTCTTTCTCATCCGCAAGACTTTCTCAGCTCCCCGTCTTTCCGGGAGGTTCTGATTGAAGTGCTATTTAAAGAGGCGCGCAGGGGGGGGAAAGCAGGCTTGTTTACAGTACAGTGCCCTCCAAATACAGGCTGTCTAGAAACAGGAAGTACCGTCGGCCTGAAGCACAGCAGCACACAGCGTCAGCCAGCACGCAGCCATTTCCTCCTCCTCCTCCTCATGACCGAGCAGAGGCTCCAGCAAAACAACCCTCACGCTTATCTGAGAATTATGCACCCCTCCCCTCCGCTGCCCGTCCTCTTGAATGGCGCACATACACAGCAGGCTTTTCACCCCTCCACCGTGTCCTATCTCGCTTTCTCCCATTCTCTTATGCCAACACCCCCCACCCCCCTCTCTCTTCGCCAGTACAGCATGCCTGAGTGGCTGCCTGGAGATGGAGGAGCTAATTAATTTGATTTAGCCGTCCTCTCTCTCTCTCTCTCTCTCTCTCTCTCTCTCTCTCTCTCTCT